TCATGAAATAACTCTCCAAATGTGTATTGGTTACCTGTGCCAAAACCACCATGATAACTGGCTGTGTTTTTTCCCCTCAAAGTTCAGTATTCATTGAAGGCAAAATAATGACATTGGAGCCTTGTCAAAATCTGGTTTGCATTTTATGTTGATCTTGAATGACAGTATTGTAATTAAAATTTTGGTACACCTGTTTATCTACTGTTGAATTGGTGTAGTTGGAATCTGAAGCAAAGTGTTTCTTTACTGCACTGAATTTATCAGTTTGGACAGGATAATGACAATGGTGGTTTTTTCTTTTAAGTGTACCTGATGTGTGTATTGTCTGTAATTATCTGCCCATGACTCCATAGTTATTCTTTGTGGTCAGAATACTTGTTACTTCAGCAAAGGTTAGAGAAGTTACAGAATGTTGTACGAGAGGATGTTTTGATGTTATGCCACAGGCAAAAACATTTGGTTAAACACAATGCTGCTTACATTATATTTTGTTAGCAATATTTTGGCATTTGTATTAGATGTTTATACTGCAGATGGAAAAAAGAAATTGTGAAGTGAACTAAATTTAATCCACAGTTCCTCTATTCCCTACAAAAATTAAGGGAATAAGTTAAAGGGTTTTATTTTTATTATTGCGAAATCAATGTGCCTAATCTCATTATTGTGATTGTCCTAACAAACTTACTTATTTCCTGTGCTCCTTTCATAGGCATCTGAATTCAACTTTTCTTCAATACCTATTATGCTTTTTACAAAACTTTGTGAGTAGCTGAGACACAGTAGGAGTCGAATCAGTTTCAAGGTTTTTGTGATGTAGCAACACTAACTAAAATTATACCTTCTATTTAGGCTCATCGAATTAATAATTGCTGTAGTTGCAACAGGAGTGTTTTAAGAGCAATGATATTTTATTAAAGAATTTTTTTCTTATGAAATGGCCTTCTTTATTTGAAATACTGTGGCTTAATGGAAAACAGTGTTAGTACAGGGTGTTCAGGCCACCTGGTCTACTGAAATTGTTCTCAACTGCTTTTGAAATAATTTGGTATCAGTACTGATTATAATTAAGTTTTAATTCTGAAAAACTGCCTTTATTAGGTAAGGGATATTTACACCTTGATACTTAGGAGGCATTTAAATAATTAGCCGTTTCAAATTACTAACAGGTATTGGCACACAGCCAGTTGTCATTATTTCTGCACGTGGATGCACGTAGATGTGTTTCACTGGGGAGATTCATTCAGGTTGGTCAGTTTCTATGTGCAGTATTTGCTTCTGAGACATTTTGATTTATTTTCTTTAAGGGCAAAGTTCTTTGTGTCCATTGATTCAATTGCCTTAGTACTACTGTAGAGCAGAAGTTGTAAATGATGGCTAAAAAAGGCTAAATTCGAAAGAAAAAATTGTGTATGTTCTCTGAGAGCACTAGGTGGTCAGAGGGACAAATAAGCTGCTCAGTAGATGAGGAGATCTGTTTTGTATTTTATTTCTCAGTGTTGGACATGAAAAAGCTATCTAGTACAAGGTTTTCAAAATAGTGCTAAACTGGATGTTAAATAGGAATTTGTTATGGTCTTTTTCTTTGTGGCTGATTTTGCTGAGAATGTTAGTGTTTTTGTGTACTGTGAAAGTTTCTAAGGGAAATTTGAAAGGAGATTGGGGGCTGAGGAAGGTCATTCAGAGATGGGATGCCACAAATCCATGCCTGGGCTTCTAATCTTTGTGCCAGACCTATTTCACAGATGTGATGGACTCTGTCTCATGTAGGGAATAAATGGTACTTTGGAAACAGTGACTCAGTAATTTTAGATTACACTAATAGACAAATCTTCACCTCCTCTTCCATCCTCGCTGTTTCGGATTATCAGAATTGAATTTCTGGAATTCAACACCAAAATTGAATTTGCCTTAAGTACTTCTAGTGTCTTTTTAAAATAACCAGCCTTTCTTTTTTTTGTTCCTGCTTTTATTTCAGAGTAACAGGGAAGCTCTGCAGGATGTAATTCGTTCCTCCAAATCATAGAATTTATGCAATATGTGTCTTTTCTATATTGTAAAAGTGAGTTTGAGTTGTAAAATTGTGGGCATTGAACATAGGGAGGGTGTATAGCATTCTCTGTGTTTATAGTTATGCTAGAATTTGGTGTGGAGTTAAAAAAACAAACAAACAAAACCCCCACAATTTAAAGATAGTGGAATGAGATCTTTTTTCAGATGAATTATATATGTATCTATAACATTTCTGTTTTAATTTAGAAATGTCTAGACTGAAATAAACTAGTTTTAAAAACCCTTTCACTTATGCTGTAATATGTGGCCCTTCTTAAAGAAGGTGGTAGTATTGAGTTGGGAGTTCCTTGGTTTACTTTTCAACTCAGTCTCTGAATTGATGTAAGTTGAGAATTGAGGGCAGAGGTCAGAGTTTAATTGTGAAGCAGCTAATGGCAGAACTAGAACTAGCTGTTTTCTGTCATCAGAGAAAACATTTCTTATTGGTTTTGTGGTCTCCACAGAATTGGATAATAAGACATATTTTAATGCATACCTTTTAAAACTATTTATTGATTCCTTTAGATGGGTGACAGGAAAGATTTTTTGCTTATCTCACATCTTCCTTTTTGCCTGTCTGCTTTCTAACCAAAGGAAGTGAGTACTAAGTCTGCAGTTGTCTATTTGAAAGCATTGCAGGTGTTGTACTTCATCCTTGTAAGCCGAGTCATCTAGAGGGCAATTCTTTTCACTAAAATGCCTTTCTAGATATCATCTGAAGGCAGGTACAATGTATTAGAGACGTATTATCTGACTTTATTTTTCTACAGTAAAAATGATAATGTTTCTTGCCTGATACTGTATACTACATATTTACATTTTTAGAGGTATAATGCACCTTGCGGCTAGGTGTGATTTTACTCTCCCCTCAACTCTGATCATAATTACTTGGTTTTGTTTATTTTAGTGCAAATATTAGAGGACCATTGTGCCAAGCAAGATTATAATTTTATCTCTAAATTAAGCTTTTTTTTCCCTAGATGTTTAATATATATTTTCTTTCTGAAGCTGGGGAGTTCATTTCGCAGACATGATGTTTTATATAGGAATGTGGGTCTTATTATAAACAGAGTTAAAGATTTCCAATTAGAACTTGCTACATGCCAATAAGTCTTTCTGCTTGCACTCTGTCCAACTGATGTCTTTCCAATGGAAAATGCGAACTTCAATTTGCATTTTTTGCATCCTAAAATAAATAATTTGAAAAAAAAATTAAATATTCATGAGATATGAAAGCATTGTATCTTTACAAATAAGACTTTTAATACAGATACTGCCATGCAAACTCCAGTGTTCAAAGCTGTTTCAGGTTTATTTTCTTCCTTTTTTAAGTTTGATTCCTTAATGCTATGCATTCATATTTAATATGATGATGTTTATTAGAATGTAAATGTCCTGTCTGTTTCCTCATGGGGATAAAAGCCCACAAATGAAAGCAGTCTTTAATATTTGCTTTGTATCTTAAATTGGACTGTATTAGTTAAAACAGAAGGTACATTCCATAATTTCCATTTGTGTAGGCTTAGTAAGTATGTTTGGTATATAAAGGTCTTTGTGCAACCTGTATGGAGTCACTCTCAGTTGGAATTTGCAAAATAAATTTAGTATTTTTTTACTGGGAATTTTGTTCTGGGAACAAGACTATTCCCTTAGATAAAAAATAATTTTGAGACACTAAATTGTTAAGCATTCTCTTTCTCCTATGTAATTTCCTCAGGAGAAAATAGCTTTTCCTAAAAGCAGCAGGTTAATGTTGGCTGAAAGAATAATAAAAAGTAGCATAGAGCTTCATTAGTGCTCTGCATAATCTTACTCTTCTTGGGTTTTGTTTCACGAAGCCCCTAAAATTATCACATCTGGTTTGAAAGAATTTTGTTTCATTTATACTTTTAAGCTTTTCATAATATTTTTATGGGGTTCAGATCCTCAGTGTTCTTCCTCCTCTTTTCCCAGAGAACTTGCATATCTTCTTCTGCTCTTTAGAGCTTGTAATTACTGTTCTGTAGCTGACAAGGGAGTTCCTCTCCAGATCAGTGGACTATTTCTGTTGATGGCATATACAGATGCCTCCAGACTCTGTGCCATACTGTTGGAGTGAGCTGGATGGTTGGTGCTCTTCTGCATGGTTTTGTTAATGAAGTTTTTGGTTTACTCCATGGCCTCTTATGCCATGATAGTGCCATCTGCTCCACCATCACCACTTCCACTCCAGAGTTCACTCAATATTTTCTAAGCTTGGCCTTTTTATCTCTGTTTGTACATGTATCTTTACACACAATTACACATGTGCTATGGAAGGATAATACTGCCTAGTGAGTTTGTAATGTCTTGTGTCACATGCTGAGCAGTCCAGAAATGAGCTGAGCAGAGGCTTGATTCAGTTTTTGGTACTTGTTTCAAATTAAAATCATAGTTTGCTAGTAAAAAGAGATCAGGCAGTTTTACCTGAGGCCTATCTGAGGTGTCTGTTACTTATGCATGGTTTAGATTTTCTTGTTCTTGAATTGTTTAATAGTTATGGAAAAATGCAGAGAAAATGTTTAGCTTGAACCGAATTGAAATGCATAGTTCAGAAGAGAGAGCTTGTCCTGCTGGAGGGAAAAGTGGTCATGAAACTCAGTGTTCCAGTAGTCATCTGAAGATAGTGTGTATTAAAGCATTTATCTGCTCCTAAAAACAGTTTTATTTGAATCTTAAATCTGTGTTTAAAGCTATCACTATAATTTCATCTTTAAATGTGATGTTTATGATGCACAGCACTGTATTATTATTATTATTATTATTATTGTGTTCATTATGCAAAGCTGTCCCATTCTCCCGTAACAGAGGGGAAAAAATAATTTTATTGCATTATTTAGTAAACAACTAGTAACCCCAGTCTGTATCTTTTGCAGATCAGTTTTTCCTCTGTGTTCTCTATGTAAGGAGCACGAATTGCCCTGAAGGGTTAAGGTTCTGTGAAGATGTTTCCTTTGAAAGATACTGTGATGGGTGCCTCCACCTTCTTTGCCTCAGCTCTGCCACATGATGTCTGTGGAAGTAATGGCCTCCCTCTAACACCTAACTCCATAAAAATTTTGGGGAGATTCCAAATCCTTAAAACAATCACTCATCCCAGGCTTTGCCAGTACGTTGATATTACCAGAGGTAAACATGGTGAGTATCTGTTTAATAAACAAATTTTATATATGATTACAATTCATTTTCTGTGGCAATATATCTTAAGGTGACTGAGCAGAATATTGCTTTTGTAGCACCAGAAAGTGGCTGGTTTTTAGTCTTAAAATTAGTGTGTACCTTTGCTGTGCCTGGCAGTATGGGTGCTTTTGTTTCTTCTCTGCAGAGTCGAGGCAGAGGTTTGCTGTCTGTCCTGTTTTGTTGTATGGTACACTAACTGGTGTAGCTAAGAACTTCTGTCTTTTTATGCCTCATTAAAATTGTTGTACTCTGTACTGCACTCATGCCGTGCCACTTCTTTGTGTGGGTCGTGGAGATACATGTATTTTTGATGCTGAGCTCCAACCGTACACCCATGTTCTAATCTTCTGAACATTTTCATGTGATGGTTAGGTTTCTTGTACTTGATTTGCAGCTATTCTTGTTGTCTCATCTTGTGTCTTGACTGCAAGCTTCCTGTATTTTTTTTCTATCTCTTTAAGCTTTCTCCCACTAATGGTTACTTTGTTCTAGTACAGGTATTTTTAGTCTTTTAAAATAACTTATCACACTGTTAGCTTGAACAAAGTGTCAGTTGCTTTTTTCTGCTGTAGCTGATGTTCTCTGTTGCAAGCTCAGTAGTACTACAGCAGTTAATTTCCACAAAGAGGTTGAAACACCTGTGGCAACTTTAGTTTTTCCACCTTTAACTTTGTAATTAACAATGTTGCCATATGAAAGTGCATTTAGCTACTGTCTCATAAAGTAGAGCAAGTTTATTTTTCCCCTTTAGAATGGAGTATGATTGGATGTATCAGATTTTTAGAAAACTGGGATATTGCCAATTCCAAACACTGAAGTATTCTGTGGGGCAAGGAGTTCTTCATGTGTTTTCCTTTGATCTCAAACATGTAAATTTGTGATTTATGCAATCAGGAGATCTTCAAAGTTTAATCATTTTCATTTGGTTTTGCTAGTACCTCTGGAAACATAAACTGGGATTTTATTACAATGCAGTTTGTGTTGAAAAGTTAGGAGACATTAACATAACGTTTGATAAATAAAAATAAATATATAAACTGGCCTTTTGACAATGAAGAGTAAATGACATGAAGATTTATGTGTGTGTATAAATATGAAGGGAAAAAATATCTTCTGATAGTTGAAATAACTTGATGGATAGCAAATAAAATGTCTGACCATGAAGTCAAGAGACTGTTCTCTTTGTAATGGTTAGAATAACAGCTAATAACTTTCAAATGATATGGCAAATTTAGTGGCAAATTTTATTATTCTGATACTGACAAAATTTTCAACTTGTCAGTGATATGTATAATGATTTAATGTTTGTGGGGGTTTTGTTGCAAATGTCACTTTCTATTCTTACAGAGAAATATGAGTGCAGACTAGGAAAAACTGCAAAAAAAAATCAGGTGTATGCATTCCCTCCAAAAAGACCCTCAAAGGGGGGGAATATAAAAATAAAAGAAAAACATTCAAATGGGATTTTTAAAAAAAAATCAAACTGCTTTTAAATCTTTGGCATTGTAGAAGACAATCCTATAATTTTTTCTTCCAAAGAAAGCTTAAATGATCCTTTGATTTTAAAAAGGGAGAAACAGAGTTGAGTAAGAAGCATTCCAGCTTTAATGTGATTACTTGTGTTCCTCAGTTTTCTGTTTTCATCTTACTGTAACAGTAGTCTTACAAAAATATGCTTGAAATAGTTTAGTTTGAGTTGATTTTGAACATTGCCTACCATCTGTTCTATGTAGTGGAAATGGCAAAGACCAGCTTCTTTAGGAGTTTTCTCACACCCACATGTAACATCTTGTACATTTGTCTTTTCCTACTGCATGATTGTTGTCTTCAGTGCAGTATTGGTTTTGGGTTTTCCTCTGTATTCAGATAGGCCATCAATCTTCAGAACATGTGGAACCCCTGCAAGTGCTGCAGCTACTTGTTGGGCAAGAGGTGCTAGAGCTAATAATGTGCTGGTTGGCCCATCAGGACTGAATCTCCTGTGCTGGTTCTGAGTCCCTTTTCTCAAAGCCAGTGTTACTTCGAGTCTCTCTTATCAACCTGGCCACATATTTCTGCAAATTTACAGATGCTTTATCTTCTCTGAGACCTCTATTTTTCAGTCAGCTCTGACTGACATTGGCTGAGGCCTTCAGCATTGATTAGGAGATTATTGGATGGATGGATTGGCAGTACTTCGCATGAGGAAGCATGAAATATAATCTGCTGTATCTCATAAATGAAAATAGTGGTGATAGCCAGAAGTTATACATCTTTAACTTTTAATTATTTTCCATACAATGTGTGTCAAAATAATTTAACATCTGTCAAATAGGTAGACTAAGAAGTCTATACTCCCAGGGTCTCATTTGGATTCCAGTCCTCTTAGAACATTTTTTACTTATTTGTATATTTTTCCCTTGTCAATTAGAGAGACTGGTCGTAGCGGCTGAACACTGTGAAAAGAGTCTGGAAGATTTGCTACGAGAAAGAAAGCCAGTCAGGTAAGGTGTCAGGCTAACTCAAATCCACTCACCATAATTCCACATACTATCTACCATTTTTTAACTTTTACTGATTGACATAAATTTTACTGTGTTAAGGTTTAACCTAAAGACATTGTTTATCAGATGAAAGATGTGTCTGAAGAGGGAGTACTTATTTCCATACAATTCTGAGAGCCAGAAGAGTTATGGGGAACTTGCTTACAGCTGAAATACTTTGTGACTAATAAAATCCTGTCTGTCTTGTAATATTAGTTTTGAGTTTTCTTTTGAAAAATAGAGTCAGAACTATGACAGGATAAGAAACTTTCTAAGAATTAATTTGAAGATTAAGTCTGCCAGATGAAGAAATACAGTTTTCACTAGAATGGATAGAATTTGGTATGTGTTTTTTATATGCAGAAATCTAGCTAGAAAGTGGACAAGATGTCAGATACATATGCTAGAGTGCTAGTAAGTGATTTGAATTTGGGTTTATATAGTCACTTTAGCAGGATTTTGGTCAAAACCAAGTCCAAAGGCTGGATGTCAGGACTTTGCTTAAATACTAGGATGTATAGATCAGTTGAGCTGTATCTTTAAAGAAATAAACAAAACAATGGAACCCTTGTCAGTCTTGTTACTAAAAGTGTTAACTATAATTTTACAATCTATCACTAGTGCCTTTGAATCAAAGAATTCTCCTAAACAATGTCACACAGAAAATGTGAAGAGTGGAAGAGTAACATTATTTCCAGTTGGGATAGCAAGGCAATTGTGTGCTAACTGGTTATTTCAGAGCACACAAATATATAAATATAAAACACATTGTGATAAATCCTGAGTCTCCTCATTCTAGTTTCTGAAGTTTATAGCAAGCATTAGATTTCATCTCTCTTGATATTTATGCAGATGTAGAGATAATGATTAGTCAGTAAAATAACTGGCAATTTTTTGTGTCTTCCTGCTTGACATGAGGCATCTCTGGTGGGCTCTGTTTGATAAGCTACTGTGCTTCTGTGGCCTCCTGTGACTTATCCCAATGTAGATTTGTATAAGGGCAGTAATACTGGATCTGTAGACTTTTGAGCTTTGCAGCCCCTATATAAGATCCTAACAATGTCTGATAGAGATACATCTAAATGCAAAATGCCTCATGTTTGTTTTAGCATTTTGTGAACACAAGCTTATATGACTGTGTGTTGCAGGGGACTATGGCTTGAGGAATGTTAGGGAAATATGGCTTCTATTTTTTCTTAAGACAGAGAGGGTAGTTAGGTGTAAAGGGATTTTCATGTGTGGTGGGTTTTCACATGTGAGTTGTTATAGCCCTTTACACAGTTTTGCATCAGGTTCCTACTGTACAATGTTCCAGAAACAGTTTAAGTATCAGAAGCTCTTTTGTTCTTTTTTTTCATTCTGTTCTCACACTTTTTTGAATATGTGTCTCAGTGTCAGGTGAGCAGCAGCCCAGATTGCCTGCTGCCTCCTGACTGTTTTTGAAGAAACATGCATGCAGCTATTTCATTTGCTTTGAATTACTTCATACAGTATACTTACATATATGCTCTCATAACTTCTGTTACAATTTAATCCTACAGTCTGAGAATTGCAAGGGACAAGGTGTCTTATTCTGATGGGGGAAAAACCCCTTATATTTCCCTATCATAATTCTATAAACAAAACTTTCTCAAATAAGTTGTGGTCTGGATGCACATCCATTGTGCCACTCTATACTGACATGTTTTGTGGCATCCAGAAAGGCTTTCAGGATCTTTTTGGATAGTTTTCTAAGGAATGCAGCTTTGAGTTTTGGCATGCTGAAAGAAATTACTTAGTTTGTGACAGTTGCCTCAGCTCTTTGGGCTGTGGCTCTATTGAGAATAGCTGCACAAAGCCTGGTTTTATTTTTCTCCTCTTGTCTTGAGGGAGTTTTAACTGAAGTTAGTCTACTATCTGATCTTCCTTTTAATGAACGAATTGGGATTTCTTCTGAAAATTGTAACACCTGAGGTATAGGGCTAAAATATAGCCTGTATGTATATCCATAGCTTTGAGGGACATTAGTGATTCATCTACTGTAAATTACAGCTTTTGCAGTAGTAGCTAAAAGATGAATTATGTTAACTTCAAGTGAAGTTTCTTGCAAGACTGGCATTTTCCTTCTACTTCTATTTATTTTAATGAAAACAGACTTTTTTGATTCTTATGTGAGACCCAGAAATTTCCAGAAATAACTTGGATGGTCCAATTCCCAGTTATGGGTTATGTGATCTGTCTGTATCAATGACCTTTGGAGGGAAGTATTTGGCCTTTTTCATGTATTCTGATTGTGTTGGTCAGTGGTAGCATAGCTGGTTACACATCCAGAATTGATGCGTATGCTATTGCAATTAGTTTTATAAACTGTTTATGGAATTTGAGAAACTGCTCTTCTGGTTTCTAGATTAATTTTCCTTATGCTTGCCAGTAACCTAAGTCCTTTGCACCTGTACTACAAGCTGATGCAAAATCAGGTAAATCTTCTATTATGTAAGTGCTGAAATTCAAGACATTACATTATGGACTGTCTATCTTTCTATACATTTTGGAAAACAGGCCATACAGCCATTTGGTAGTGATTTGCAGTTAATCTTAGCTGAAGTCATGCATCAAGTATAGCATACATTCCTTAATATATGAATGATATTTATAAAAAAGAAATCCTTCAACATTCTTTCCTCAGTTTACCTCATACTTAACCCACGCTTTCTAATTCTAATGAATCAGTTGCACATAGAAGCCAAATACTGAAAATTAGAGTTCCATTTACTTTATCTGCTCTGTGCCAGTGCAGAAAATAATTTTTAGAAACTGGATTTGTGATATATTTATTCATTCATTCATTCATTACCTAACAATACTGTGTCTGCAGTCCCCAGGAATTACAGAGATGGCTTGTCAAAGTTAACATGTTCAATTTTACTTGAAAAGGTTAAGGCAAATGTTTGGTATTTTATGGCCAGATTATTTTCTGGTTTGAGTGTTGGACTTTTGGGATCCTGGAAGAAGCACCTGCTGCTGTTAGAACTTTTATCAAGTAAATTTCAAGAACTCCCGAAGGGACAAAATGAGTCAGGTCTTTGCAATTCTTCCCATAGGTAACCAGATACAGAAAAAGAATTTAATATAGCTCTTTAGTGTCTTCTGTCTTTTGGGGGATAGCCATGTGGACATCATAGTTAATGATTCTAAAAGTGACACTAATCTCAGGTTTTTTTACTGTGCTTCCATGAGGCATCACAGTAAGAGCTGGGGAGCTCTTTTGGACTTGTGTGCCACAGGGATGCCATGGCTAAGAGTTTTAGAGCGGGATAAAAATTTTAGGCATTGATACCCCAGTTTTCACCAGACTAGTCTCTACTGTCCTCTGTGAGAAACTGTAGTCTGGGTCATTATCTCCAATTTGTTTATTCTCGATTTAGTGTCCTGTTTGTTGTTGCACTCAGAGAAAGAATGCACTTAATATTAGTTAGTAACAGTCACATTGGTGCAAAATCAGCTCTCTCAAGTATGTTCAGGAGTCAGTTAAATTTTCAAAGGGCTCGGAATTTATGTACATAGTCAAACAAAAATAGTAAATACCTGATTTAAGCTCGTAATAGTTTACTGCTGTTCAGAGATTTGAAAATGTGTCTCAGTCTGGTTGGTTTCCTCTGTGTCTTCTTGCACATGCAGGGATTTTTTTCTTGTGAATGAATTGAAAATAAGTCACAAAAAATTATGGAGGGCAGAAGTTTTGTGCTTGAACAGTGTCACTAAGGAGAGTGGCGATCAAAATTTTACTAGCTTTTCGATGTTGCTAGTCATTTTAGCACTGTTGATACCAAAGACCCGAATGTAGAATGTGCATTTCTCTTTAAGGTTCTCCATCTTTTAAACACATTTCCAGCTACTCCTTTGACATACCTTTTCCAGACAGTGTTAAAGGAGTCATTTTCTCTGCTTCTGTGCTGTTATAATAGGAGTTGTGAGCATTTCCTTTTCTGTCATGCTTGAAGTGTGTTTCTTCTTTGAAGAAGTTGGTCTGCACTTATATTCATAATAATAAAAATGCCAGCAAATACTGACATTCAGCAGACTCTTGGCACCTACAGTACAGTTTCTGGATTGGTCCTCAGTTTGTGGCTTGGACAGTCTAAGTTTATTCCTTTCTTCAATAAAATATAGTTGTCATATGTTTTGAAAGTCATGGTATTGAAAAATTACTAGTGAACCATCAGAGATACAAGGTATAGTTTGTTATACATGGAACATTTGATGGGAAGCAGACTGTGTCTGCAGCTGTTTACTAGTTTGGAGAAAACACGATCCGACTGATTCAGATGAGTACACTTTATTTGGCTGTATTAAACAGTTGTCTGCTCATTGATTGGACTAGATTTCTTTATGCAATCGTTGCTGTTAGTGTGCTTTTGGCACAGCAGAAGGGAAACTGTGTTACAGAAGAAACTATTAGATGGAGGGGAAAAAACAATTTCTGAGTAGCCATGCATTCTTCAAAATTATTGTAAGACAGGTGCAAGTCATCAAAAGGCTGAAGGTTTTACATGATTTCTCTTGAAGAGCTGCATATGAGCAGAGCTTCATGGACTGAGTGTATTCTGCTTTGAATCAAGTCTGTGTTGGAATTTCACATGAGAAATCCATATGTCACAATGAGGCTGCATTTGGCAAGGATAAATTCTGTAGTAGAAAAAGCAAGTAGCATTAATAAACAGACAAAACTACTTTTTTCCTAAGCATGTGTGAGATTCTCTAGTTTGGGCATTTAGTGTTTGTAGACTTTTCATTTAGTTTCCTGATAATGCTTTGCTTCCAAATCTATGATGAAAGACTATCCATTAGTCCAGACTTGTTTATATATTGTCCAATTATGCTTTTCTTCACATAAAAGAATTGTTTTATTTCTGTAAGCAATTTCTAGTCTGACTGCACATCTTCCTGTAGCGTTCCTTGTAGCATAGGTCGTCTCCTGTGAC